AAGATGATGGGCAGAAGGATCAAGGTGGTCCTCTGGGCAGCAAATGGAAGCTATTGAAAACGTTGAAGGAGAAGAAAGCAGAAGAAAAAAGCATCCAGGGTAAAAGTCCGGAGGCACCTACAGAGAAAGAAAAAGTAAGTATGATGGGCATGGAAAATTTTACGAAATTCATGTTGAAACTTAAATCATAAGGTTAGAATCAATATCGCACCATTTGTTACAAAAAATTGTAAGCTTGTATGCCTTTATGATGTTTAGAAATTGTTGTGCGCCAGGGTAAAGTAACAAATTAAAAATTTAAGAAAAAAGGTTAGAAGCCTTAATAATTCAGATGCAAAAATCCCTGAAAATTTGCAATGTTCGGAGCAATAAGAAAGTAACAAAATTGGTGCAGGGGTTTTTATTTGTTAAATTGTTTTTGCTTTACCCTGGTCCTAAAGTTAACCCCAAAATGCTTTAATCTTAATATCCACCAATAATACCATACAATAAGTATGTCAATTTAAAATGCCTAACGCATTAACGTACATAGTTATAATACATCACAAATTATTTATGTAATCATCTCAATATCATCTACCATATCATTATTACAATATTTAACCACCCCTTTTACCGCACTGTATGTGAATAAATTAAACGGATAATAAAAAGGTTCACCCATTAGGAGATTGACATTATGACATTTTACACGTAAAAATATTCATGCATCTTTTTAATAAAAACCGCGTGCTTTAACTTATTAAAGGTAACACGAATTTAATAGAAATTGGGCGTTCCCTTTTTAAATTTAACCTTTTAATAACGAAACAAAACTATACACAACGCTATTTTGATAATATTATAAATTACAAATTTTACTGACTGACTTTGTAGTAGACTGCTTTTTTCATAATGACAATCTCGATTTATTGAAATAAGTAATACTTTATAAATATATATTAAAAATTAACCGGCTTCAATGTAGAAATAATACTAATAACTTTTATATTAGGATTACTTATTGATTCTTCTTTATTAATAGTTTGTTAATTTATAAATACAATTTTCTGTTGCAGTTAAAGAAAAATCAATATGTATTAAATATTTATTTAATTGGATTCTATTTATAGTGTTTATAAACTGTGTTTGTATTACATTTTACTATTTAATTGTTTACCTCTTATTATTTATTGATTTTATAATAACTTTTACACTTCACGTTTCATGTTTACATCATAATAATTATTAGAGACCGGATTGATATTCTAAAAAACTAAATGATAAATTTAAATGCAATTATATTAAACTATTTTATACAATTGATTTTGCGTAGAATCCAGTCTCTAATAATAAATAATATTCAAAGCAAATAACGCGATCTATCGATTTTGTTGTTTTAAGTGTGCAAATATTATACTGTTAGTTTTATGGCCGTATGTACAAAAGCTTTTGGTTAATGACTGCATAATTATTGAATTTTTTGTTTTTAAATTATTTTAATTAATGTCTTCTCATATTCACGTGGAATTAACAAATTATATTGTTTATATTGTGTCATTTATTTTTTTTGGTTAAACTTTAGTCAGAATTTAAAAAATTAACATGACATGTATGTATTATAACATTTTACAAATGTCAAAACTATAGTCAAAGTAATATTTTATCCAAAAATACGATAATTATCGTTATCATTAACCTTTAATCAACACCCAATATAAATATGTAACTAAGTGCCCACATTGAGGGTACGGAAAATAATAAATTTTCAGGATGAAAAAAGTGAATTTTAAAGTTTTAACTTGATTTCAAATGTCAGATAAAATATCAAATAAAATTAGCTTAAAATTTCGTTTCGTTTCTTTAATTGTTCATAATTCGGTTTTGCACTTATAAGTATTTCTTGCGGTAGTTAAATAAAATATAGGTCGAAAGACACGCGAGTTACCTAACTTCACGCATAATTTAGGTACTCTTGTTACTTCAAGCCATTTAAAATTACAGACATTCAGCGGTCTAAACAAAATCCAACTAATCATTGACAAATAAGTGTTGTGCATACGGCCATTATAATTTTAACCTCATACCAAATTATTTACTTTTAATAAACTATTGCTATTCTCCCATTAACAAGGTGTTCAGAAAGTAACGGGAATCATCGATGCCATCCCCTTGAAAAAAATCGTCATTATAATGTGCTATATCTACAGATATATATCTGTAGATATATGATATATCAATTTCACAAGTCTTATGCCAGCGCTTTTCCCAATCTCCTTAACACATCTGGTACTTAATCGTTATTTATAAAGGATGTTGTTTTTTATCCTTAGATTTTAATAGTCAATAAAACTCGCAAAAATAAGTAGAAAAGTTTATATGAACTTATATGCTTTAAAGCTTTGTGTTCGATATCGGGATGTTAAAGTTAATAAAAAAATATGCCCCACGTCACTGCTTTTTTATGAGTTTGATATTATTTTCAGATGAAGCAATTAAAAATACAACCTTTTTGCATTTTTATTTTATCTTGCTTAATTTTCAAGAAAAAAATCAAATTCGGTTATCCGCTCGTGACAATGTTTTCAAGGGCGAAAACAAATTTATTTTTTCCTTGAAAATTAAACAAGATAGAGAAATAATGCAAAAAACAAACAAGTGGTGTTTTTAATTGCCTAATCTAATAAGCCTACCCAAATTTTATCACGTTTATCAAGTTGGGATGCCCATTACTATAAACCTAAAAAGTTTAATTAAATTCGGACAAGTAGTTAGTAGGAAAATAATTATTTAATTTATATTTATTTAATAACTCCACCACCCTATATCTCGAAAGCGAAGCTTAGGTCTGGTTTTTCAATCATAGTTTAAACTTGGTTCAGCATTTGAACTTGGTTCAAACAAAATATGCCGTTTTTCAATCACAGTTCAAGCTAGAATTTGGTTTAAACTAAATCAAAAGATGAACCGTCACTGTTGGCCATTTAAACGAAGTTTAACTTGACATAACTTAATTTTTCTCTGCCTTATTGTGTATTACGTTGTTTATTTCTTGTTTTGTGATCTGCTGTTATAATAAACCAATGGATATGTTTAAGGTAGTTAGTGAGGATGATGAGGAAATTAGCGAATTCCTTGGTGTGAACAGGCCATGGGTAAGACCGAATTATTTTGCAAGGTGGAATAATGATAAATTTTTTGCCAGATTTCGGTTTTCCAAACCTTTTGTACGTAGGATAGTGGATTTAATTAGACCAGTTATTGCAAATCCGACCAATAGGTTAGTTATAAAAATAAGTACTGAATAGGTAATAGATTTTAGTAAAATTCATCACATGTAACAAAAAACGACAAATTCATTTTATACTTTAAAACGAAATACATACCAATAATTCCTCCTTAAAAGAGGTAAAGTTGGCAGCACGATTTTTATCCATAATAAATAATAATTATTGTCCTTTAACAATAGTAAATTGTTTTAAAGCACCCTTTCGCACAGATAAAAACTTTTTAAAACAGCACAGATAAACAAAACTCCAAAAGTAAACACAAAATCCTTTTGTCAAAATTACAGTTTTAACTTCTATTAATGTAGGCGTATACCAACTTAACGTTGACACCGCTGATCTAAGTTCAACAGAACTGCTGTTGAGTCGACATTGAAAAACTTATTTGACTGTGAACTGAGTTCATTATTTGATCTAAGTTCCCCTGAACCAAGGTTTAAACCCTAATTGAAAAACCGGCCCTTAAAAACATAAGAGGTTATAAAAATGTTTCTTGTTATTTTTGCGAGTTCTATCGACTACTTAATTTTTCTGATTAAAATCTGAGACAATCTGTATAGGGTGGTTTTTAGCTTTTTTTAGCGATGAGCTTTTAATCTCATGTGTTTATATATAACGACGGCTATGTGGCAAACATGGAGACTGGCGCATCATTATGGTGTTTATTCGATAAAAACTTAAAGAATAAGCAAGAAAGTGTAAATAAAACCGGGTTTTTTTATTTATAAAGTAAACTTAAACTTGTAGTACTTACTTATTGTTAATTGTGTATCATCATTTCTTTCCACGTTTTTATCGGTTGTTCATAGGTCCAGTGCGCTCGTTATTTTTAACGTGGACCTTCTAAAGCCTGATTTATAGATTGCCTTTCTTTTTTTCTCCCGTAAAAGATTAACAATACGAAAATCGTAGTGCCGTTTATAAATTCCCGTACGGGAATCTTTAAACAGCACAACGGTTTTTGTATTGTTCATCTTCTACGGGAGGAAGGAAGGAAGGACACTCGTAAACTCTAGTTTTACTCAAAGTTGACTTACTAGAAATGTATCTAATCTATTTTTTTTTAAACTTTTTCGACAGCTGGTTGGTTACCAACATAACAACTACAATATCGGACCAATACAACCTGAAAAAAACGAAAATTCCCGTTACTTCCTCTCCTATAATTATTAGGTTATTTTTTATTTACCAACTAAAATAATATCTTACAAAAAGCTAGGAAAAATAAATATAACAACATGTAATCTTTTAAAATGCAGTATTACCTACACTTGTTCTACAATCTACTATTTTTACCTATACCTATTTAGATACCTAAATTATGTTCTTGTAATCCGTCCTCCCAATTTAGGTATTGTTTATTGTTAACTAGTGTTTAAGTAAAAAACAAAATAAAAATATTTGGACGCTTCTCCACAATTTATAAAGTATTACCTTTGTATGCCCAAATGAATAGACTTAGTGTTTAGCAAGTGTACTTAGATATTATATTGTCAAAAATACTCGATGTTTAGCAGTATTAATAAGATGACGCTTATGTTAGAAGAACGCTTTATAAAAATATAATTATGACATTGTGCTGAGACAAAAAAAATGATGTTTGTTAATTTTGTATTTGTATATTGTTATTGCGTTTTTAATAAAGGATATTGTTTTTGTTTTTCCTAAAGCGATGCCCCTTTTGGGGCATTTTTTGTTGATTGACTATTTATGTTTTTTTTGTTTTTTTTTTAGAATGGGTCAGGAATTGGAGGCGACTCCGCAGGAAGGGCCAATGGGTAAGTCGTGTTTATTTTTCATGCATGTAAATTGTAACAACCTATAAAAATATTATAATAATCAACTTTAATGACTACACAACAGTTTTTGTACTGGACTGATTAAAAAAAAGATTTCGTTAGTAGTACCTACATACAGTCAAAATATGAAAAAAATTCGTCATGAGTTTTCATTTTTGGTGTGAAAAAGGGGGAGTAAATTTTGAAAAATCAGTTTTAATTTAAGATAAGATAATTTATTAGTAATACAAATAGTACTTTTACAGGTCAAATAAAATAAATATAAACTAGTACACATAAAAAGTCTAACATAGTACCAAGAACAGCGCTGTCATTGAATGCATTAAAATTGAAGCAATCTAAATTGTTATTTGCTCAATTAATTACTATTAAATCAAAATAGGGAAATATTTTGCCTAAATGTTAAAGAATTTATTCCGTTAAATGTATACATAGTATACATACAATAGTAACGTTATTAAATAAATCAAATTAGTATTTAATGTAATAACATTCTAACAAATAAATATCAATATGAATATCAATAGATTTAGGAGCGATAACTTTTGTTTTTAATTTAAAAACAGTAAACCATTATAAACCAAGTGCTAACTACCTATTGGTATTATAGGAACTGTTATTCAGGAATACGGATTACAAGATCCCATTGGTTTAATGGCTCATGCTATGCTAGCGTTTTTTCTGTGTAACAAAAACTAGGTTTGAAGTACTCCTCATATAAAAAAGGCATTCAGAATAAGGCTTGATTTGGTTTTTGTAGGGATTAAAGTTTAGAGCTTTAATTATAGCTAGTACCTACCAGTGTTGCAAAAATCCTAATTTAGTCACGGGCTAAAGATAGCAACATGTTTTTAGTCACGGGCTGAAGTTACATAATTATTTTATTTTCTTCACTTTCACTCTGAAAAACTCTTGTTAGTCCATTTTCAAGGGATTCACTTCAATTTACACATAAAAATTTGACATTAATAATAAAGGTAATTACGCTTTTTAAAAATATTAATTTAAATGATTATAGTATTCAACTCGTTTATAAACTTTTCTTGACACTCATTTAATTAAACACACGCTCGCAAGCTCGCTAGTGCCTGATTTAAATTCATGACTAAAATTGCGTTTATCAAACTTGATATATAATATACTATTATATTATTAGTATATTATGTATCAAGTTTGATAAACGCTATTTTATACACGAATTTAATTTAGGCACGAGCGAGCTTGCGAGCGAGTTCTTAAATTAATGAGTTTATAGAAAAGTTTATAAACGAGGTGCATACTATACTTTTTGTACGACAAATACTTATTATTATCTTAAAATGATTTAAATCAAAAATTTGTATAGAGCGCCATCTATTAAACAACAGGGGGAACTGTCAAATGTCACATTTTTACATTTTATAAACACAATTATAAAGGTTATAAATCGAAATTTATCTTGAAAATTGACAGTTTTTCACAGTGAAAGTAAAGGAAATGTTTTATGAGGACTTTACAGTAGAGTCCGTGCCCGAATTTAAGTTATATTTTACTGCCGGTGAAATTAAAAGGTCAGTACAATGTTCATATAAACTTTTCAAATATTGGCGTTGAGAAACTATTTAATATTTTTGTATTTTTGTATTGAGATAATAAAATAATTTTCACATTTAGAATTATTTTACAAGAAAGGCACTTTATTTTAACGATTGTATGACATTTGACAACTGTCAACTAACTTAAAACTAACTTCAGCCCGTGACTAAAAACCTGTTGCTAACTTCAGCCCGTGACTAAAGCGCCGTAAAGCCACAACTTGTCAATGTGTGTTTAAAAGGTCATTTAGTGTCATGGAAACATGTACGATAAAGGGCGTTTTAAAGGTGAGAGTAGAAAAAATTATTTATAATACTATAATCCAAAATACAATACAAAATACAATACCTTCATTAAACGGCTTTAATGTTTTAAAGGTTTCCATTGTAAATTACAATGTGTAATCCTTTTTATAATTTGTATAACATATTTCATTATGTAACATTTTATCATTGAGTTTACTCAATGATTTTATTCTAAATGGGACATTTATATTGGTCCCAGAAAATATCTATAAATTATGAAGCCTCGCTAATTTATATACTCATTTCTATTTTGATATACAGTACCGGCTTAAGGGGTGTAAAAAATCAAGGCATTAGATGTTATCCTATTTTTTTATTTTAACAAAACAAACATCCACATAAAAAATAGAAAATTAACTATTAATTAAAATCAATTTTTGAAAGGTTTATTTTATAAAATTGTATAGGTAAAGAAAGTTATATAAAATTAAATTAAAGTAACACTTTAAACATGTTTATTAAATAAAAAAAACATTTGCAATGAAATACAAATTTAAAAAAAAGAATATTTTTGTTGTTAAAACATGAAGTTAAAAAAAATAACAAAAACTATCGTAAAATTATCATATATTTACAAAATATTATATTATGTATCAAGTTTGATAAACGCCATTTTATACACGAATTTAATTTAAGCACGAGCGAGCTTGCGAGCGAGTGCTTAAGTTAATAAGTGTATAGAAAAGTTTATAAACGAGGTGCATACTATACTTTTTCTACGACAAATACTTATTGTTATCTTAAAATGATTTAAATCAAAAATTTGTATAGAGCGCCATCTATGAAACACCAGGGAAAACTGTCAAATGTCACATTTTTACATTTTATAAACATAGGTAATTATAAAGGTTATAAATCGAAATGTATCTTGAAAATTGACAGTTTTTTACAGTGAAAGTAAAGGAAATGTTTTATGAGGACTTTACAGTAGAGTCCGTGCCCGAATTTAAGTTATAGTTTACTGCCGGCGAAATTAAAAGGTCAGTACAATGTTCATATAAACTTTTCAAATATTGGCGTTGAGAAACTATTTAATATTTTTGTATTTTTGTATTGAAATAATAAAATAATTTTCACATTTAGTATTATTTTACAAGAAAGGCACTTTATTTTAACGATTGTATGACATTTGACAACTGTCAACTAACTTAAAACCAACTTCAGCCCGTGACTAAAAACCTGTTGCTAACTTCAGCTCGTGACTAAATCGCCATAAAGCCACAACTTGTTAATGTGTATTTAAAAGGTCACTTAGTGTCATGGAAACATGTACGATAAAGGGCGTTTTAAAGATGGGAGTAGAAAAAATATATTTAAACAATCTCAAAAAAATACTAATCAAAAATCTATATTTCCCATCCCGGTACTGCACACACACATATTTCAACTGTCTGGTTTGTATTCAGAGCGTAGTTAAAATAATCGCAGGGCCCGTGGATTAAATTCATAGCCCCGTTAGCAGTGGCAAGCTGTCTTAATTACATTTTGCCCGCTCGCCCTGTCTTTGTTACTTGGTTACTTTATGTGCGACCAACTTGTGTGATATTATTAAAATAGTCCGGCTGTTTAATGAATTACAATAAAAAGTCATTAATTTTAGTGGTTAATAATTTAAAAGGTCTTATTATTAACTAGAATTATGCCCGTTTAAAGAAATCTTGCAGTGTCATGGTAGCCTTGGTTTAAAACTATATTGTAGCGAAAATCTTCACTAAAGCGTATAAAAGAAAATATTGAAATTGTATGTCTATATAGATAATATTTGAGGGGCTCGGTGCAAGAACCGGGTATCTCCATATTCGGAAAATGTTCAGGAGACAAGAAAAACCTTGTTAAAAATTATTTTATACAATGTCATTAATTTTTATTTTTTTATGGGTACTATAGACCAATTGACATTAAATTACCAGATTTTCGTTTATTATAAATTCAGTTACTATTATAATATACTATATTACTATAGTAATCGTAATAGTAACTATGGAGATACCTCGTTCTTGCCCAGTAATTACAAAAAAATAAGTACACGTCTTTACAATAATAAACTTATCCAAAAATTAAGTAAGGGGCCGTCCATAAATGATGTCACACACTTGAGGGGAGGGGGTCGTCGGAAATGTGAGAGTTTTAGCAGGTTGTGACGTCACAAAGAGTAAATTAAAAAATTAGTCTATATAATTAGGGATGGGATTTTAGTTATTTTACCTTTTTTTAACCGATGTAACTATTTGAAAACCAATAATGCCAAAATGTGTTTTAAAAGATTTTCTTTTATATGAACCTAACTTGTTTTCACCTTTTTTACCTTTTTTGGAGGTTTTTGCTTTTAACTACCTTTTTTATACTTTTGTTACCTATTTTTTTAACTTTTTTTTACCTTTTTTACCTTTTTTGGAGGTTTTTGCTTTAAACTACCTTTTTATACTTTTGTTACATATTTTTTAATTTGTCAGTTTATTTTCATAAATTTGTTACCTATTTTTACGTATTTTTACTTATTTTATTTTTTTTTGTTCTTTTAAAAATTTGCGCCAATATTTTATCCAGGGCGTGCAACTCAACGGTATAGATTTTTTTCTTATGGTTACAGACTGTAACAGTAACTGTCTTTACAGTTACCTTCTTTGTAGTGACTCACTACTAGTGAGCTTATGTTCTGTCATAGAACTTCTGTGTAGTCACTCAGTAAAACACAGTTTATTGCATAGAAATAGTTTATTGTGGGTATGTTCTGTGTTTGGGTATGCGACTAAACAAAATTATAAACGAAACTTAAACTTTTAATGTTTTTTTTTTACCTAAAATGCTGTTTTTTTAACCTAAAATGCCGTTTTTTTAACCTAAAATGCTTTTTTTAGTACCTTTTTAGTTACCTATTTTTCAGTTTTTAGTACCTAAATATCCCATCCCTATATATAATAATAGATTATAATCTTTCTTTTTTATATTTTTATTCAAAGTAGGTATTTAATAAAGGATAGAACTTAAAAATAAAATCAGTGTGACGTGACTATAATTTGTGACAAGAGGGGGAGAAGGGTAAAAAATATTAAAAAAAGTGTGACATCATTTATGGACAGCCCCTAAGAAAAAACAAAT